CACCTAGGAATGCACTAATGTACTTTCTCCTCACTATAGTAACAATAAGCCGAAATAGCCCCCAACATAATCCATTAAAGCTGGAAGAACAACAGCTTACCAGCCATGGATTCCTCTTTGTTGTTGTTTTTACTTCTCTTAATTCACACTGCTGATGACAGCCAAGTATAAAGCTACTCAAGCCTTAAACAAGATAACTCTGACACCAACTGTCCAGCCACACAAGCACAGCACTCCTCTGGTTAGCAACCTTTTAAAACTGATGTTGTCATTTAGTTCCTCTGGAAATCTGTGCTGTTGTGACTGGGCTATTTTTGATATGAGCTCATTTAAAGTCTTCTCAGATAGTTCTTCACCACACTGTGCCCTAATGCACAATGTGCCATTATTGGAATGGGAATAGCATCGAGAAGCTCTGGCTTATGTTGTCTAATCTTATGTTAGAATCACACAATTTTTTTTTTATTTTGTTATAAAGGGAGGCAACAGCAGATCTTATCCATCTGGCTTCAACTAAACATCAGATACAGAGTCACAGAGTCCAAAAAAATTAATTAAAAAGCACAAAATGGGAAATTAGCGTAAATGTTTTGAGGTGGATAAATATTTGATTTAAAAAAACCACAAAGAACAGTTGTGCTGAAAGAGGAACTGTCATACCAGTAGGTGGTTACAAGCAGAGTTGGTCAAGAATGGTCTTAAAATCTTCTATAAAGTTGGTTCCACTTCATGACCTTGGCACAAAAAGTAAGCATGTCCTAATAATATTTGCTGATAACCCCAAACTAGGAGGCGTTGTTGAGGAACTGGAATGTTACAAGCAGCACTGTATGACCTGAGGACTGAAGTACAAGAAAGCCAAAGGAATTGAGTAGTACAAAGGTCACGCATTTGCTACTAATAACAAGGATATCTGCAATACATGGGGAATTGATCCACTGAAAAAGAGAAAGGAGGAAAAGACCTGTATTACTACTGAAATGCAAAATGACTGTATCTCACAAATAAGATATAGCTGAAATAAAGGCAAATGTGAGTCAGACAAAATTTCTAAAAAAGACTAAGACATACTAATGTCATAGTTCACGGCATTAGGGTAAGACCTTACATATAAAAAACTAGTACCTAGAATGGATTTTATATACCTCCAGCTATGCATTCGTTTTTGCACGAGATTGGAAAAAACATATATGCTTCTGAAAGATAACACATGCCAGAACGCATCAGTAGCAAGAATATTTCAGCATAAAATGAATTCTTAAGAATCTAGCATTAGCATGTAAACTCAAATATTTATTTTAAACATCAGTCTCCACCGAAACCTACCTTTCCACTTACAAGACTAAGTGTATAAAACTGACCATAGTTCACTTGGTGCACCATGTAGCTAAACGTTTTGAGAATTAGCTTTATCTTTTCCATAAAAGAGAACTGGTAAGAATATAAAAACTTGTTTAGGTGGATTTGAAATACATTATTTCAATTTCTTATAAGTGACTTCACGGAACATTTAATAAGAATTTAAAAACTTGCAGGGATGGCACCCTGCCAAGTTGAGATGAGAGTAAATTGCCTGGCTCCTCAAATTTGTTCGGTTACCATTATGTCTAGTTTCAGTTAAGATTTAGTAACAGACAGCTCACTTGTATGTTTGTATAAACCATGGTAGCCACTTTAGATGCTTCCATGAAATGTAGGTGTAAGTTATGTACTGAGGCTGGAACTTTACCTGCTAATCCACAAAGACTATTTCTTTTAAATGGGTGTTTTGTTTATTATTAAATATCAGACCAGTTATTAACAAGTTTTCTTGACTGCCTGGATAAAAAAAGGGGTCTACTTAGACATGCCCAAGAGACTAGCCTTCCTAGTCTGATAGGACAATTAATAATCCTTCGGAGGGAGTCTTGAAAATTTGGTGTCTTGATTAGATATCAAGTCTGTGAATTGAGAGGGAGAAGATCTGAATCCAAGTGGAACACAGTGGAAAAAATCGTTACAAAAGGACATGTCTCCAGATTAAGTCCTATTCCATCAAAGTAATATCCAGGATAAAGGCCTTACCTTAACCGCTGGTTGTCTGCTACTAGAAGCATGCCTGATAGCTTTTCAGCTTAATGAAAAAAGAGAGACTCTTGCGTAGTTGAGCTACAATATAAGTATCCCTATGTGCAAAATCTCTTATTTCTGTACACCTGCCTCTAGAATGACAACCAGTTAACTGCGCTGTTAATATTCTATTATAGTAAAGTATGTTTATTCTTCTAACTTTTGCCTAGCTTTAGGAGGGATTTCCGAGTGGCTGACAAGTCTCTGGCATTGTATTCTCAAGGGATTGGTGATTCACCAATGAGTCTCTCCTACAGTATCTATCCGCCCAAAATAAGAGTTCAGACCCAAAAAGGCTTTTCACTAAACCACATAAGTTCTTTTAAGAGCTAGTAACGAGGCATATCTGTTTGGGAAAACAGATTTCTTTAGTAAAAAGTAGAAGCTAGTGTATCCTTCACATGAATGGAGACAGTAAGGTATATGTCTAAATCTTAAGAGGCTCCTGTGAGGCTGCAACAAGCGGCAATGTTATTGCTTAGAAGATGATAAAGTATATATGTGTGTTTTAATATCCAGGTCAGGAACGCAGAAAGTAAAACACTATTACGTCAGAAATCCTTTGCCAAATTTGTGTGCAGTGCAGGTTTCTGATAATTAGCAGTTCATAGAAGAAAGTGCAAATGACAAGGCAGGGATGTAATCCATTCAGTCTTTACCAGGAATATACAGAGTCTGGAAGGACATGACTTAAACCCAATTATAAAATATATCGAATCTAATGAGTGCACTTGACTGAAGTTTTCCCACAGACATTAGAACATTCAGGTATACTCGTTCCTTTCCATTTTTTTGCTCCTTCACGTATTAGTAAAAAAGGAGGTTTGTTCTTTTTACTTAGTTCTGGAGGAACAGCTTAGTAGTTTAAATTCTATATCACTAAAAACAAAGTGCAGAATAACTTAATTTGAGGAGTCAAGCGTGATCTGAGAAGATTCTACCAGATAAACTAAACATTTAAAAAAATAATAAGGTTCTTGTCCTTAGATTTTACTCTTAGGTTTGTCCTACATTAAACTGTATCAATGTTTTCCCCTTTCATGCTGCCTCACTTGGTAATGGTAATTCAGAAAAGCGCAAGTTGAAAACAGCATATAAAATAAGGTCAGTATAACCCCACCCGCTGGCTGATTCCGGAATACCAGCTGCAACAATACTGAATGTGTGAGTAATAAATTATTTACCTTTTAATCTGCTGATTAACCAAAAAGATCACTATCAGCAAGAACTGCTCAATCACTAAGAGATCAAAGAGAAATGTTTTACTAATGCATTTCTTATCACAGCCTTTAAATACAGGGAGTTCCCAACAAAAGTGACTGAAGACTTGACTAAGATTTTATATATGCCAGATTTCACCCATATGAACAGACATATAAGGCTTTCTAACATAATCAATTCTAACATAATACAGCCAGTAATAAAACTATTTAAACACAGCTAGCTCGTGGTGAATTTAAGACACAGTCAAGAACCATAATATTTCTCAAGCACTTGAGAAATCATTAAGTTATAGAGCTCTTTCTCAACTGAAATATTTGTATAAATTTATATGCACTACGAAAAACAGTCGTTGGTTAACATTCAGTAGACCATAAAGTTCTGTTTCTAGAACACCCTACTTGAAACACCCATCAGTAGCAACAGTGCACTATGTCAATAGTAAAATGTTTGCTATTTGGGATTCTGTGAAAAATTGGGAAACTTCTGCTGTGACCAGTTTTTGCACACAGGATGCACTTTTTGCATCATCAGCACAGGTGCCTGTGAATCAAAGATTCAAAGTCATCTGCCAATTAAAACGTGCAGGTAAGAACAGGAGAGAATTAACTATATGTTAGAATTTATGGAGGAGAATCTATTCAGTTGAAGTCTTTCAGGTAAAAAATTGAGTTCAAATTCAATTTTCAACAGTATCCTATCAAGCAAATAATTTCAGACAGATTTGGCAGGGATCTCGTAAGTTGCTGAACTTGTAAGCACTTCCACTGGCACCTCTTGTGTGACGCTGGCATCTTTCAAACCAAAAAATAACTGTGGTCTAGTTTTGGAGAAGACTGCAAAGCTAGCTGATCCACTTGGGATGGGGAAGTATCACTTCCAGCCTCCCAGACCAACTTTCCCTTCTCGGTACGAAAAACTGAAGTGTATTAGAAGCCCAAAGCTTTTTCATCCTTCGCTTAAACCTGTTCCCAGCAGGGAGAATTCAATCTCTTTAATTTTCCTCAAGTTAAACCCTCCTTCCTCAATTCTGACAGCTAGACAAAGCATAATTAGCAGAACATAAATTTTCCTTTGACTCCCTCCAACTTTAAAGAGTACATATGTGCCTGCACGTGTATAGTGTCCAACTGCCTGACAGAACGATGAATTAGTAAGATAACATAGGCAAGTTCAAGCGGTCTCCCTATCAGCAGAAAGCTGGCTCAGTTTACATTATCTTCTTAACAGTGCATCTTACAATTCTGAGTACAAGGTATTATTAGAAAAAATAGAAGGCTTTAAAAGCCTGTAATCTATAAAGCTGTAGCAGGTACAGGTTCAATACAAGCACACATTCTTATGATGTTAATGAAGTGACACAGATGTGAATAAATTGGTATGAACATGTTTTGGTATATTTTAAAACTGACAACATCTAACAGCTTTAAGCCATCGGTTCTTTTGACTTATCCCATAGTCATTAATTTGAAGACCACAGCACAGATAATTAGATATTAAGGTGACAGACCAAACTGAAATGTCTGATGTATATGAACCTGGGGAGATGGATATTTTCATTTGTTCCTTCATTTGCCAATAAAGTCAAACATTCATTCTATAAAGTAACCCTGCTAGCACACAAGGAAAAAAAAATTAAGTTGCTGAATATTTTTACATTAATTAACTACCTGATAGCTTCATGAGGAGCTCAGACGCTGCCTTGACTGACATGTCCTGCCTCATCACATTTGCTTGCACTTCCTGTGGCTTGAGTTTCTCCTCAGGGACGCTTGGGGCTGAGGCTTCGGATCCCTGGCCGAACACATAGCTGGACTGAGACAAGGCTGAACTTGCAGCTTCTTCATCCTTGGGCTCATCTTTCACTTTAAATTTAGGAGTCAAGGGCTCTTTTTGATTTGCAGCTGTTAAGGGAAGGAAAAAAAGCTAGATTTAATGAGGTGTGTAATGCATAATCATAGAGCAGCTAGCAACAGGAAGAAACCACAACCTGAGAAACGCTAGAGCAGGTGCTGGAAGCAAGACCATTAAACAGCATTCAAAGATGCTTCGCAAGGTAAACAAACATCTGCGTCTTTTGTACAAAGAGACAGTTTTGCAACAGAAAAATTGCATGTACCAGAGCTCAAGGAAATATCCTTCTTTTCTTTATTCTTTTGCCCCTACTGCCATAGGCTCGATGGAAGTTTAAAACACTTTTTACAAGGGCCAATTTGGAAAAGCCCGTGGGTATTACATACTGAGTTCTTAAAAAGAACATGGAAAAGAGACAAGAGATGAAGAACAAAAGATAGGGGACCTAAGAGGGGAGAAAGGGGAAATTAAGAGAACAGCAAATTCCTAGATCCTAAAAGCTGGTATTGGTTAACTGAAGGAAGTGAATGGTTTTTTTTTTTTTTTTTTTTTTTTTTTTTTTTTTTTTTTTTTTTTTTAAAGACAGCTCTGCACTGGAAGATTATATTAAAGCATTGTTTCGGGTTTTATACGAGTAAAAAAGAAAGACAGCCTTTCATGTACTTGACGTAAGCAGTTGCATAGCCTCAGAGAAAGATACATAGACCTTCGTACTGCTTTAAAGCTACACGCTGAACTCTACTGTTGCTGAACGATCTTTCAGAAACCACTGGACAGTGCTGGATCCCTTGCACTGGCATTGGTAAAAGGGATAAAACCAAGAATACGTGTTAAGCAATACTTCCAAACCCAAGCAATATAAATTCACAGGCATCTGCCTGCCTGCTAAAGAGGCTAAAGAGGTTGTACTATTTTTCACCAGTTTATATTTTAATTCTTATTTTTGACCATTGAGAGATGCTTCCTCCCTTCACCTATTAGTGGCTTTTTCTTGGTCAAATGTTCACACGCGCAGCAATGACTCTTGCCGTGCCCCAAACTTTGATTCTCACCCTTTTAAACCTTTCTCTCCACAAGCATGAAAGAGAAAGCATTGTCCCCGTTTTCTTCTCTTTATAAGCTCTCTCATCATTTACTTCACTACCCTTCTCTTCTCTTATCCCACATATTTTCCTCCTTCCACATCATGTTCCTCTGTCTACCCTCATGACTTCTGCAGATGAGTTCTACAAGATCTCACTCAGAGATTTACCAGATCTCATGTATGAGATGCACCCCACAACCCCATTTTCTGGCTGCAGTAGGGCATTAGAAGCCAACACGCACTGCCTGCTGTAGAGCCAGCCAGCTGTTCTACAACACTGTCACACGAATGGTAGAAGAGGAGGAGCCGGCACAGACCTTTATCTTTGGCACCTCTGCTACAGGGGCAGTAAGATCCAGGTGAAGGGACAGGGCACTAGCAGGTTAAATCACCGCAGTGAAATCTGGCAAAGTTCACCTGCTTAAGCCCTTGGTCTATTTCCTCCTCCACTTCACAGTTGCTTCAACCTCACCATGTTTGCTTCCTGACTCCCCAGTCAGCCCAATTTACGCCTTCCTATCTACTCTCTGGCTCCTCACGTTCCTGGCTTATTTCATAAGATACTCTCCTCCTCAGTAGTTCCCACAAAATCTGACTCCTAGAGTTTCAGGTAGAGAGAGAGAAAGATTTCTCTCTCATGCAGCTGTTAATACGCACTAATAGCACTATTAGGAATTACTTTTTCCTTTTAAAAAAGGATCAGCAGCAAAATTAAAACATGCCTCAATTCACCAAAATACAGGTGAAGACTCTCAAAGCAATCTTAACTCTACCAAGGCACTTGCAAGAAAAATCTGTCCTTCAGTTTTATCCAGGTCTAAGTCTTTTGCCTAGCTCAGTCTATTCTGGGGTCTGACATAGGGCAATGAATGGCCACCAAAAAAAAAAAAAAACCCCAAAAAAAAAAACAACCGACCCTATCCACAACTTCTTTGCCACATTGCCTTCTGCATTCTTTTCCTTATAAATAAGCCACTCTAGCTGCTGCAGATACGAAAAATACCCCAAAGCCAGGAGCAGAGTGCAACCAATAGAGAGCATTCTGCATGAACTTCCAGAGAACCTGGAGACAAAAATTTTTGAGTGCATTCATGTCAAGGAAGTATTAAATCACATTATCCCAGGAAATAAAGGAAACAGGAGCCTGAGTGAAGAGCTAGGAAGACCCAGGAAGCCAGCTATGTTTCTGCCCACGAAATCAACCAGCTAGAGGAAGCGCTATAGACCAGGTCAACAGACAATTTTACTATTTAGAAATACAGAGGGGATATTCAACTGACTTAGATAGATCACTGTAACTTTGTATCCGTTTGCCACACTCCATCATAAGCCAGGTTAAAACCAATGTCAAAACATCTACACAAAAGTAGAATCACGGTAGAAAAAAAAAGTAGAATCATTGTAACTGAATTTATATAATACCACAGCCTTAAACTGGGAACTTTTTGCAGAGTCAGGCCCTGTAGTGAGAGATGCCTTTTTCTGCTGCCACAAAAAGGGGGACTGGCATAAGGATCGAGAGTGGCACTTCTGGAAGAGATTAGCACTCTTATTACCCCCTCTTATCAGAGAACCAGAACTCAGAGGCCAATTTGATTCTAAGCAAGGGAAGGTATCAAACAGCACCTCTATGCCCTTCGCTTGGGCAGAACCCATGGGTGTACTTAAGCTCTATAAGAGGAAGTCAAGTTCTAATAGTCCAGAAAACCAACAAGTCAAGATAAGTCACATAATGATGTTCAGAGTCTAAAAAGTTTCATCATAGTGATGCACGCAGAATGACTTTCGAAGGGCACCAGATTTCCCTCCCTTCCCATCCCTCACTTTCCCCTTCTTTCCCCTCCCCACACGTTAGCTCTCCTACTATGCCACCATATGCTGCTATAAGCTGTCGCTCCCTCGCTATTCTGAACTGCCCAGGATAACAAGTTGAAACCACAGTAACAACAATTCTACTAGCACAACGTTAGCAATAGCCTAAATGAGCTCTTACAGAGATCTACAGTCTCAGTTTTCCCCTGTGTATCTATAGGACGTCACCTATGAGAAATGGAAGATGTGGTCAGGGCCCCACAATCCAGAGAAAGTCCTGAAGATGTGCATTGGACTAAGTCACGTCAGGGAAAAAGCAAGCCAAACGAACGCTCTTATCCATATTGCTGCTGCTGCTTGCTCTACTTGCATTGCTTTGGATAGCATACATGGTTAATAAACTCGGAAAGAAGATTCTTGCTGTCTAACTGACAGCACATTCCTTGAACTGACCACACTTTTCAGAATCAAACACTTCAATTGTAGACAAATCACAAGAACTAGAAGTTATTTACCTCCTGCTTCTTCCTCTTGGAAAACAAAAACAAATAAAGCCAGACAACCATTAGCTGATTTCAAAACTATTGCTACAGCTAATGGGGCTTTCACTCTTTCTTGAAAGACATCAACGCAAATTTCAAACTACATGAAGCCTATTATAGAAGGACAGTCAAGAAAAAGGGGAGGTTGTCCAACCTATCAGATATATACATTAAAGCTAGAGACAAAAATTCCCCCTCGCCTTTATCTCGTCTTGGGTCCACAGTTATTGGCAGTCATATTAGGGAGAACAATAAACAGAGATAAGAATAATCACTGCAAATACAGAAATAAAAGTTGACTGAAACTAATTCAGAAAGAAAATCTACAATTGAAAAATCTTTAAAGAAATTAGAACCAGACAAGGATTAAAGAGATGGCATTGAAAATTTACTTAAGCGTCTTTGAGCTACAAAATTATTACTTCCTGGAAGGAATAACATCTCCTATCTACATACAAAAATAGATACACATACATATACTTAATTTGTATTTAACTTATATTCATCCTGAACAGCAACGAGAACAGACTGACGGATGAGTTGCCTGCAGACTGAATCCAAAACAGACAGCAATTTAATTTTAAAATACGCAGTGAGGGAAAAAACAGGAAAAATAACCAATAGGCAGCAGTCTCTCAAGCAGGGTTGATAGTTCCCCATTCATTCCACTCTGTATATCCAGCAAAAATTAGATCAAAGAAGATTCCAGATTTTTATCTTCCTGGAAGATGGGATCATTTGATCCCTTTGGCAAAAGTAGAGCATGAAAGTTGTAACACTTCCCTCAAACTGCCAAATGCCACAAGAAAAGCCTTGGGCATCTGCCACTAATCTGAAATGTTTTGATAGAAGCTGCTGACTGCATCAGTCCGCTTACTGAGGATTTCTAAATGTTCAACATGTTGATAATTGAAAGAGGGGAAAATAGGCTGATTGCTTCAAGCCACGCTGAGTGTTATAGTTACAAATATCAAAGAGCTGGTCACTGTTCCATCCGTTCGAGCTGAGCAAAAGAACACATGAAAGTAAAAAGAATCCATGACAAAAACGTTGCTGCAAAGAGGAGGCCATGAGAAAAAGCATCTAGGAAGTCTAGGTTGAAAGTAGTTGTGATAAAGATCTCTAATGCCACAGCACACTGCACCAGTGTCAGGTTATTTTGGAAGTGGTGCCCAAGCACAGCTACAGTGAGAGCAGTGAGAGCAGGCCACCCCTAACTGAGGGAAAAGGTGGGAAGTAAGGATACCTTCGAAAGCACACTGCAAACTGAACTGACCTCCTTGAGACCTTGCAGGAAAACCTCCCTTTCTCATTCTTATCAAACTTACCATGAAAAGAGAACTATAGCATGACTTCTTCCTGAGGAAGAAAGGACAGTGTTTTATCCAGGATCCCACTGGAGCTAGAGCAACTGCATGATGCTGTAAGCCTTAAGGTACAAGGAGGAAGCTGTGAGCTGTGGAGGTCAGAAGGAGCCAAGGACCTCTCATAGATCAGTTCCACAGCATTTGGAAGACACGTCCCTGATGTTGGACAACTCCTGAAGGCAGTTGTGGTCAATAAAGGGTAAGACTTGAGTCTTCTACTATTTTTGCTCTAATAATTGAAAAGT